AATATAATACTATCATTTGAAATGTGCTTGAGAGATATATCTCTCCTTTGATCAGAAGAGACTAAACCAAAAATCAAATTTTCATGGATTAAAAATTATACCTATTAATAATAGCTTTATAAAATCATGGCACATTAGGCATTATGTATGAGATAGTATTGACTTCATAATTGATAAAAAATAGCAAATAACTATGAAGATTGACATAAAGCAAGTAACTTGATCACAAAAAAATGATGGCACATTTGGCGTTGTCAACTGAAAGACATCAATAATGCTTCAAAAATGATGAAAAAAGGCCACAAACTTGACTTGAATCAGACATGAATTATGCTTCCCTCACTCAAAAATCATGGCACTTAGGATAAAAAAAAATTGAAACAATCGAAAAAGACATAACTAACTTATCTTCTATCATGCATCATGGCCCGACCTCTCGCTGCAAAATGATGAAATATCTGGCAACATGTACGGAAAGACATTACGAGTTTAGGAAGGGCAGACATCTGTAGTTAAAGCCATGCACTATTGGTTAGCAGTCTCCTAATTTGGCTGAGAATGAATTGCATTCTGGGATGATTATAACAACGATTGATTTTCTTTTTCTTAGGCTACTTCTGCTCAGCACATTTAACATTACATGTGCAAGTACTGCAATATACCGTGTACCATGTGGTAAGGGTGTAATGTACTTTAAAAAGTACAGATTTTTCCTTCAAGAAGTAAAAAAAAATTCATACTGGATTGATAAAAATAAAAAACCTTTTCCAAAAAGACAAGATATGTTTTTTTACACATGAGGCACAATGATTCAGCAACGATAAAAAAGCAAAATTCTTGTTATCAATTTCTTTACACAAGACAGATCTGAAATATAAGTAAGTAGCTTAAAATTATCAAAATATAAATTAAATCAAACCTATCATATTACAAAACTCCATGAACAACTGCATTCCACCTGATCAACACAAAATACATGTACATGTTTTTGAACAACCCATGGACTTACCAACAGACAGTAAAATTATTTAGCACCAACAAAGCGATACCTAACACTTACATTCATCCGCCCTGGTAGTGCTGGTTAATTTTATGGATCATGTGGTCAATATGGTGTTAGTGCAACAAGATCTGTAGGCAGTATTGGTAAATGCCTTATCCATTTACAAGGCCTGATATCTTTCATATATGCAAATATCTCATTTGTCTGTGACTTAATCGCCTTGGTTCTGCCATCTTTCGTTTGTGAAAAAATCACATGCCTATCACATAAATCAGTCAACTAGGAGATTGTTGATATGAGGTTCAAGCAAAACCATTCAGAGTAAAGAATGAGCCAAAGAAAACTTGAATTAGCAAACCAGAAATTTAACAGATGCAGGCACCAATTATAGCCTGTCTTTACATAGGGATCTCTCTCTCTCTCTCTCTCTCTCTCTCTCTCTCTCTCTCCCACCCTCTCTCTCTCTCCCTTCCTCCCTCTCTCTCTCTCTCTCTCTCTCTCCCTTCCTCCTTTTCTCTCTCTCTCTCTTTTTGTGTGTGAAACCTTGCACTGTTGAGACACGGTTCAACCAAAACCACCCCGAGTCAAGAATGAGCCAAAGAAAACTCATGCCTAGTAAAGCTGTTAGGGGGTAATTATCTTTACCCCCTAGCTGATTTGGTAGGCGTGACAGACAATTCAGCCAGCTCAGTTGATAGCAATTTAGTGAGACTCCCTAGGGAGTTAGACCGATCCAGATGGAACGATCTGGGGATGGGAGCCCAGTCTGTTACCCCATTCACACTAGCACTTTTAACCACGGTCAAGGCCTGACCTCAGTCCTATCCCGGTTAACTTTTTTAATGTGAACAGACGACATAGCCCTGACCACGGTCGAAATAAACCTAGATCGGGAGGTGGGTATAATGGGAGTAAACTCCTGACCGTGGTCAAGACCGGATGTCTACATATGAAGCGCACGCGCACAAGTGTATCGTCATTTGAGCTCCTGCCATGTTGCACAGATTCTAGTAAGAGCGCATGCTTGACTGGAAGTATGCTTGCTGAGATTCTACCGCTACTAATCGTTGCCGGTATCAGTGTGAACGCGGTTTGGATGCAGATTGGTTGACTGCGGTTTAATCAGTGTAAACTCAACCGTGGTTAACGTTCTAATGTGAATGGCCTATATGTCAGTATTAATGACAAAAAATATGGAACATAATATACCTTAATTATCTGCCATAACACATATGCAGGTTAGCCTTGAAATACAAATAACAAAAAAAAGAAACATTACAAAACATTAACACAAGTTCCAACCACACTTTAAAACACTGGTCGATCTATATCAGGCCTGGCTAGATTCGAATCATGTGATTTTCCAAAAGTTTGAAAACAATTGAATCATTGAGGAAGACTTCATTATTTGTGCATGTGTAAAACAAATAAATAATTATTTCTTAGATTACAGCTAGCTTAAATGTACCCTTGAAAGATTGTTTACCAAGACAGTATTTAAATTCTCAAACATCCCTTAAAAAATAGAAATTGTCTTTAGATCACCTTGTTAACTTTTGTGTACCTTTTGTATGTATCTATGTATGATTGCAAAAAAAAAAAAATCTATGCTAAATTAACTACATCATTACATTCACTGAATAAAATTGCCGTATTCTGTCTATGCTTGTATTGAATATATATATATATATAGACTTATCGAACCCACAAATATGAATGGAGTCATTTACTGCTCAATGAAATATCGTCATCATCATTATTATCATTATTTCTCCATTACCGTAACTGACCTATTTAATGAGACCAATTCATGAGACTGGTACATTCATTCCATCCCATCGGGTCATAGGAAATGTTCATTAATTCCAGCACATTCAAATCCATGGGGAGAGGGCCAACTGCGCGGTAGATGTATTATTATAGTAGTTTATCTTTAATTATCTTTTTATGGCAATCAAAATTAATTACGTCCCACAAGAATATCATCAGAATAGCTGAGTACGTTCTTTTAGCCCACCTCAAACTCCAACTCAGCAGAGACTCACTGAATGCTAGCAGATTTACATTGTTTCCAACATGACCGTATGATAAACTGCTTTTCTATACTCTATTCAATGCCAAAATGAGCTGTGTTAAAGGGATAATAACTCTTCGTTTCGGCCAAAAAATGAATTTTCCTGGAGTAAACAACAATTTTCCCACACTTACCAATGGTTAATAAATCCATTTTTACATTCAAAGTTAGTCCATGTTTTTTTTCTAAAAAGGTTGGTTTTTTGTTAAAATCTTATAAGAGATTTTAACAGAGTATAGCCATCAATGGAGGTCACGTGGTCTAAACACAAGCTCAGATATCAGAATAATAGCTATAACTGCTGTTTTTGTGGTAAAATAGAATATATTATACTTCTATGAGTTATTCACAATGTTTTTATTGTGAAATATAGATCTCATATGAAGAGTTATTATCCCTTTAATCTATTTATCAGACTACTTTCAGCCAGAGTTCCTGTAGTAGAATCCAGAATTCCTGTAGTACATGGAATGAAAGTTTCAATGGGAATGGTCCCTTACAGACTAAAATTATCCCCAGTAAAATCATTAGCAGGTTTTTCATGAATAACAGGTGTGATTGCACAAATGCTGTGATATATGGTGAAGTGTCCTGGTATGAAATACTAACCTTACTCTTAATTATAGAAGTAGACACAATGATTATGTGCTCAGACAAGAACAATTTCAGACTGAAAACTGAAAAAAAAAATTGAGAAGTTCTTTTTTAAATAAACAAAGAAGTACGGCCACACTGAACTTAAAATTCAGCAAAAGTAATTATGTAAAGCACAATTAACGTGGCCCAAACATTCAAGGTAAATCTTACAGGGTATAAGTTAGACCAAAATTTAGAAAACCAGGCAGATAAAGCAATCAAAATTTATCTTAGTCATAACTGGAGGTCCATGACAAACCATCTCATACACAGACTCTAAGGGTGCATTCCCAGAAATTTAGATCGATCCAGAGATTAAGATTTCGATCGACCTAACTCCCTGGGGGTTCACGCTAAATTGCAGTCAGCTGTGCGCGCACCATAGTTAATTACCCCTTACAGCTTTTAGTAGGCGGGACAGACGCTTAAGGCCGCTAAGATGACAGTAATCTAGTGAGACTCCCCACAGTGATAGATCAATCTAAAATCTATGGGAATGGGGTCTAAGTATCATTATAAAGTACCAGTTGCATGTGTTATTTTCATCCCAAGGGCCCCTTTGTCTGAATACACAAGTATGCACAGAGAGAGAGAGAAAGGGAGAGAAAGAGAGTGAGAGAAATCCAGTGTCTCCGACAAACTTAAATGTAGCCCATAATTAATTAATGCCAGGTTAAGCAATTTTACCTGCTTGACGACTCCATTAAGGAGCACCAGTGTTGCTATCCAATTGAGGATACATCACCTAGGCAGGCCAGTGTATCAAATACACATTTAATCTGCCCCATCCAACGGGTTCTGAACAAAATTCTGAATGCCCCTTTTTGTTTTGCCAAAAATTGAGTTTTAACCACAATAACATTTTTTCCAGCAGAAGTACAGTATGCAGTACTACTTGTATCTTAGACAAATGATAATGTCTTAAATACTATCAGAATGTTCAAATGTCTGAGCAACAAAAGGCACAACAATGGTTGATATGTAATGGCACTGCTGTTTCTATAATTCAATTACTAGTAATTATTATTAGACAATTAGTTTTTTTGCAAAATTAAATCACAATGATGGCAAAATGGTACAGATTTCTATACAGAAGTAAATATTTAAACTATAAAGGCATATAATTTGCATGCTAGTCTGTAGAGCATGCATGACCAACATGTAATATGTAAAAAAAAACTTTCTCATATTCAAACCTCTGAGTCACTAAAAACATTCATTAAACATAAAACTTTTAATGCAGCAATTTTTTTCAAACAGAAAATCCTTGACTTCACATACCTGTTATCCTAAGAGCTCCTTCTTCTGGTAGAAACAGATATCAAAACTCTCCTAAAAGACGAAATTCCTCTCGATCCTGTGCAGATGATTGGTTCACTAGAGTCTAGCTAAAGTCTCGTTCAGTCCCCTGAAATATTATACAACAAGATCAAACTTAAGCTTCACCGTTTCTGCTGCCGTATGTTCAACACTTGTCTCTGCCTCTCTCTCTCTTGCTTAACACTGAGCTTTAACTCTGGTGTCTTAACCAACATGGTAGTGCAGGGTGGAAGAAAAATCTATGCACCTACAATATCCTACTATCTTGGTAGATATGGGAGCTTAATCATCTGGAAAGATAAAAAAAAAATACAAGGTGGACAAAAAGTCTGTACTTTTATCATCACGCAGTTTCTGAAAGCAAGTAGACTTATGGGGTGAACTGAAATCTTTCATTTATCATGAAGTGCCTTGACAACTGATAAAGGGTAGACAAAAAGTATGTACATACATCACAACAGTATGTTAGGATTCCCATAGACAACATCGGTCTACATAGATTGATCCAATTCTGGGGGGACTCTTGCTGAGTGCAATCAGCTTAAATGAATGACATGCCTCTGCCTAGCATGAAACAGAACACAAAAAAGCTGGTAATTATTTAAGTATGTTGGAAACAAGAAGAGGCATGCCATTCAGTTAGGCTGATTGCACTCAGCAAGAGTCCCCACAGAGTTGGATCTATTTACATAGACCAATAGCACGTGTCTATGAAATTGGGGTCTTAATCATTGCCCTGATTTCACTATGATCTGAACTGCCACCTGGGTCCTGTAGTTATCTAGTTCAAGGGTTAAGGCCATCATAAAACGGTCAATACCAATACCAGATACAGGGTGTTCAGAAAATGTTACCCCTTTTCTTTAATTACCATAGGGAGGCTATTATAATGATAATCAATATCATTTGGTATTGTGGATACGAATAACAGCTCCAAGGACATACACAAAAAGAAAGCAGTAAATTTTGGCAGTAACTGTGTCTTCATTTTCATGAAATCATCCTTTATCCTTTATATCAAATATTATGTTTATAAAGACCCCAGGAGATTACGGGGATGAAGTAAATATAAGAAGCACACTACCATCTTCTACATCTTAAAATACTGGGATGCAAATGTAAATGTAAAAATAATTGATTCAAAATCAATTGATCACATAATAAGACAGATAAGACAGAAAAGGGGGGGGGGTAAATATGTCAGCCCCCCCCCCTTCCCCCCTCTCCTGGACCAAAACAAATCCTTCTATAAAGTTGGTGAATCCTCACAATAAGGGGGGCCCTACCCACCCTGCGGCTGAGTTTAATTTTCTTAAAATATGACATAAGTCTCAGAGAACAAACATGAGTACAAAACAAGCTCTCATAAGCACACAGGCAACTGGCTTTACTTCATTTTTTTTTTTTCATTTTCTATTACATAATCACTGCATTCAAAATTAAAAGAAAAAAGTTGAGGAAAGGGGCGAATTAATGCTGTTATTGTTACGCACACATTTAAATATGAAAAACACATCCCAAAAGGCCACAATTGTTTTTCATAAACTACCTTGGATAATCAGTGTGAAATCAAAGTATTAATTTAATTGAATCAAGGAGGAGCACCACACTTAGTAATGAATCTATACTGTATAGAATGTCTTCTGTTTAATTCAACATCTAACTTGAAATCTTTCTCAGGTGCAGGATACACGTGTAAGTTAAAACAAATGCCAGCACAAAGCAATTTTCAACAAATGATTGTGTAGTCTGGCAAAAGAAGCTTTAAAATGTTCCATGGAATTGTGATAAAATGACTGCATTTACCAAGGATGTCCAGAAAAAATACTGGTATAACCCAAACATAGTTTTTGTATAATAAAATGTTGTCACTGTGAAAATTATATATATCTGACAGTGCACTATTTTTATTTCATCCATGTATTCTATGAAATCTAAAGCTTACCATAAAATTTATTCAACATATTTTTTTTCAGTCACTTAAATTTCTTCTTTCAGTCATCTCTTTAATGTCCTTTAAAAATTTGATCATTTTCAAACATGTTGTTCTGAAATATGGCTGCATGGTAGCCAGACAAAGTTTATTTTGGGAAAAGTTGAAATTTCCAGGAAAAATAGAATTTTTGCTAAAATCTAACAACCTGATGCACAGGTTCTTATCCTTTTGTGCCTTTTTTGATTCCACATCACCAACTGTGCTAAAATGACTCGATCTTTACAATGGAGAAAAACCATCAATTGTGAGGTTACATAATTTTGTAATCATTAATTGAAATATATTTATATGTAGCATTTGTGGTATTGTATAGAACAAAATTATAAGGTAGCCTGCTTTTTAATTTTGTAGCTATCACTTAATTATAGGAATTTTTCTAATTTTTTAGAATTTGTGACTTACAAAAATACATTATCTGTAAAATTCACAATTTCTCTCATTAAAAAGATCCAGTCATTACCGTACATCATTCCACTTCCCCATGCAACCTATCTTCTTTACCAGTGCCAATCCTACCACTCAGAAGGAGTTAGTGCAAGGAATTATTTACCCCAGGGAGCCTAACAAAATTCCCCGCAGAATTGCATGTCGATATCTGACGTTTCCTAATGCAGAGAGATAAACCTATTAACTTTACACATACTAGTACGATTCCACTGGTGAAATTGGTGTCAGTCTATCGGATTTCCCCCCCTCGGACCTTCTCCATCACAAACAGCACGACCCAAATCAAAATTGTTATAGATCTCAAAATTTTCCCAAATGTTTACCTAACTTTCAACATTGCATTATTTTTTTATTTTTTGAAACAAAATCTACATGAAACTAAACAGATGTGCATTACTGGTTTCAAAATGCTATCTAATCTATCTACGTTATGCATTCACATAATACATTATCGTGTTATGTAATTATTGTGTCACAGCCATTATAAATTATGCTCAAGATTGATTCCAATAGGGTTAACAATGATGCAAGCTAGACAGCTTTTCAATCTTAAGTACAGTAGCCCGGCCTAGCCTTGTATAAACTGAATTTTTGGGTGAATACATACTGTATACGTTAAGGTTCTAGATCAAAATTGGATTCTTCCATGTTAAACTGATTTGCTTGACTGATCACATGGTCTGGCATAACTGTGCAGTGATTACTTTTAAGGCTCAGTCCCAATGAAACTATCCATCTATGCAGATTGATCCAGCTCTGCGGAGACTCTCATGGAATGCAATCAAATTAACAGATTAACACACTTGCTTTTGTTTTCACATGATACTTGTATAATCACCAGCTTTTCTGTATTCTTCTCACCAAGGAGGAGGAGTGTTAATCTCTCAATCTGATTACATTCAGCAGGAGTCACCAGGGTTGTGGATCAATCCAAAAGTTTCATTGGAAATGAACTCTACAACTTATGAAACCCCCAAGTACAGGAAGGTTAACGACATTGCCGGCTGTCGTGTGAAGGAGTTCTGCTACCTCACACACTTAATTCTCAAAATTCATTATCTGGTACATGTCCCCTTCGGCCCTTTACACGTTACAGATATCATGCCTAACGGTTTGACTGGTACATTGTACTAACTTGTAATATCATCATGGGACTAGGTTCTATTCCCTTTCATAAAAACCCAAGGAACTAATCAAAATTAATCATGTTAATTTGGAGTGTCGAGCATGGGGGGAGTATCTGACTATGATTTTGAGCTATCTTATTGCACGCCTTATTACTTTAATTATAAAAAAATTACGCGTAATCCTCTACATTAACTTTTGCACACAAAGCATATAAATATGTTGTTTATTATGTCACTTATGATAGAATGCCACCAAAAAAAGGAACAGACAACCAAATTAAAAAAACATGCAAAAAATATCTGTTAAATCAACATCTCAGAATACTGCTGGGAAATTAAAAAGGAGACAAGTTAATAAATTGACTGATCATCGAAATGGAGTACAGTATATCTATATATCTGGTAAAACCTGTTCTAAATCAATAATTGTCAAAAAAAAAAAAATACACACTATTAACAGCTCTCCAATGTCCGTTCTTACAGGCAAGCAATAATTTTGAACATTGTCATTTTATTGTCAAATAACTTTCCCTCACACTGTAACAGTATGCAAGTGTCCATTTCAAGTGAAATAATTTTGATTTACTTGGCTCCTCACTGTTATATTGGACTGTCAAATAGTTTTTAATGACACTGTATATTCAATTACAGTCACCATGTCTCTGTTAATGTCCTATGGATGTTCTTTATACTCATTTATATGGATGATTATAATGGATTCCAGTTTGGCCTCAAAAGAAAAAAAGGCGACAAATTAATTTCCCAGTCTGTAGATACTAAGTGTGCCATTAAAGGCAATAGAAGTAAGTATCTGCTTAATCCAAATGGCATTATTTTCATATATTCAGCACATTTTTGGATCTCTGTCACAACTATTGCAATCTGCACATTTCAAGCACAACATAGAATGTGTTCTGTCTCACCTAACGCATTCTGGTCAGCAATCTGCCAAAATACCAATGAAACATGACTTTATGGTGCAATGCATCATTAACACTACCTGAAGAAAATCTAAACTATCTAATTTACATCTGTCAATTCATAACACACAGACTTAAATTTTGGTGTTAAAGTTTGGACCAACTTTAGGCCTGAAGTCCTTTAATGAAACCATTCCACATGCTGCCTATATTACCATACATAAAGCACAAATACTTACAAAAACATAATCAAAGACAGTGTTCCCTGCATTCATCTCCATACAGTATGTATGTATGTACTATTAGTAGTGTCACTTTTGGGAGATCAAACACATCACTCCTTGCAATCATCTCCATATGATTTGTGCTAGTATGATTGCATGTACTATTAGAATTGCCATATGTGGGCTTGGCAGCAATTAAGGTTCCCAAATGCCATTGACTAATTGCTTAACAAACGCTGAAAAAAAGGACTAATTACCACAGACAAAATATGAGAAGATTGCATTTTCATGTTAGGGTGAGTTCCCCTGCGAAAATTTGTCTCATTTAATGTTCACTTAGTTCTCAATCTATTCTAGAGCATCTGGTGTATTTT